GGCAGAAATAGAAAAGGAGGGAGAAGAATAACCCCTCACAGCTCAGGAGGCTTTGCAAGGGTGGGAAGAGGAAGTGTTTTCTTTTGGATGAAGATACTTGGCAGACTCCTGAGTCCACACTGCCACCTCTGCAGTTTGTGGGGTGGGAGTGAAACTAGATTGAGGGGGATGTGGCTTCTGCCATGATCAGCCATATTTACTTACAGCTGTTAAAGCGCTGTGTTTGAGCACTCCTCTTACTAAAGGGTATCTGCTCTTTTATTCAACATCTTAACTCTGTTCAAATTAGGAAGGCAGGATGAGGTCGTGTTGCGAGTCGGCATGTCCATGGCCCACCACAACAAACCCAGCAAACCTGGTTCCTGGCCCACCATGTGAAATCGACCCTGAAGCAGGACCCTAGCAGTGTTTGGTAGATGACACTGTGACGGTGTGTGTATATGGCAGTGTCACATACACCATGTTAGATCAGACCTAGCAATGGCATGTGCTGTTTTGAACCTTTTGAGAGAAGCTACACAACCTTGAACTTGCCTGTATCCTCCAGCATTCACTTTGAAACTTCAAAAGCAAAACTTACATCGCATACCTTTAGAAAGCATTAAATAATTTATGAATAGATTATGCTCTTAATAAATCTTCGAAAACTTGGAGAACATTTCGTATTTTTTCTAAAATATGAGTAACTGTGCATACAGAACATCAAATTTGGAGATTAAAAATGTATTTTCCTTTGCTGTATCATTGCTGCAGTTGTGGTGAAAGTCTTACATAAAAGTATGTCAGCAACTCTTCCTAATTAACTCATGGCAGCATGCCCAGTGGGCACACATTCATGCTTCTCTCCCTGTGTATAGATACGCATCTCTAAGAGAAACAGCTCCTTACAATGAAATAAATTGAGTAATTACATTAATTGACACGAATGTTCTCCAGAATAGCCCATTTAATTTTGTTTAGGCATTTGCTGACTGATGTCTCCTTAGTTTCTAATAAATAACCTATTGTAAAACTTGCTAACAGAAGATTCTGTAGTGTAGTAGATTTCAAGGCTAAATTATTAAGCTGACAGCCATATAGCCTTGGTTGGAGCGTGGCTTGCAAATGCAGTGTAAAAAGGCAGAACTAAAAACCCACAGGAATGTGTGTGTATGGTGATACACCTTCACATGCTTTGCTCCAGTTTGCATTTTGTGGAGTTAGATGTTTGAGTAGATGTTGTAGTGAAAGACCCAGGAGAGATGTTACATAGTGAACGTGGTTTTAAGTTTGTGTTGGGGCACATAGCAGCACTAGTCTCTCTTCCTGTCTAGAGATTTACATGGGTGAATACAGTTAGAATTTAGAAATGTGGATGTTTATTTTATTATAAATAGACAAACAGAAGCATTGCCTTTTGGTATTTCTTGTTTTATACCTGTCTTCTAAGCCACTGTGATCGAGCAGGAGGATTCCTGGAACACCCACCTGGTGTGGCAGAGCATTCCAGAGGGGCACAGAGGGCGATGGAGAAGCAGGCTGCTGCTGGAGCAGGGCACTCAGTGTCCTAGCCCACTCCCCGGGAGGTGCTCAGGGCAGTCCCGGACACATTGTCTCTGGCTGCAGCTCTGCTGTGCACAAGGGGTCTGCTCGTGCATTTCCTAGTGGGGCTGTGGGGAACAGGACCCATGGAGGGCAGGGGCTGAGCACGTGTCGTTCCTCTGCATCACGTTATCCGTTATTTGGTTAGCCATTATATATCAGAGCTGCTCACATATGCTGGCAGTAGGTTTTTCCTCAGTGACTGATCCTCGTACCTGGTAACTTTTTTCCAAAAACAGCTTGACTAGAGATATGTACACTTTTCTGAAGAAAATGGAACCACTCAACGTGCACATATTTTTAGCTCATGTGGTGTTTTGGTTTGGTTTGTTTTTTTTAAATACATGTAAGAGTTATCTGTGTAACTACTAAAGTTCCTGTGGTTGAATAAGATAATGAGAGTAGTGAAAGAATGATAGACTTCAGATGACAGTGCTTCTGCATTTATTATCTATGCTTGGAAACATTTACAGGCAACTCATTTCCTCACGTCTGTGTTATGTCTTTATGAACCATTTGGTAGTTAGGGTAACTAGGTTCAAGATGATATATCAAGCAACCAATAGTAGGGACTATACGTAGTTTCCCATCATTTAACCTCAGTCATAGGAAAGTTAAGCATCTGCTCTGTAGTTAAACCTGTATAGACAAGGGGGGGGAGACACACACGAGGGCCTGCACAGGTCTGTTTGTCAGTGCTGGATAAATGGCTTAAGGAGGGTGAGGTGAAATGACTTCTGGGTCTGTCTTTATGGACACGCAGGGTTCAGGTGATTAGCTCATCTAGCTTTAAATGGCTAACATGAAAGGCAATTATCCTGTCATAACATATTCCCCTATATTGGGAAAGGACAGTGTTACCCATTTGAGGGTGGCATTGAAGAGCACCTTGGTCAGAAGCCAAAAGCAGCTTGCAGTATAAGCAGTATAAATTACATGTTCCTGGTGCCTGCAAAAACGTATTTTGGGACTGCTGTCACCAGTTTGAATCCTCACTGTCATTTTAATGACATATTGTAACAGATAGGCATTTGTTTTTCTGAATAACCTAAAGTAGGAGTGAAATGATTCACTTGGAAAGTAGGAGCTTGGATACTTGGCTGACACACAGAGAATAAAAATACATCCTGAAGTTGGCAAAGGTGAATACAGAAGATGCACTGCTAAGGTGGTTCTGTTGTAAATAGGAGCTGGGAAAGGGAAAAGCTGAGTTATTACTACTAGGCTTTAAGTTAGGTTTCCTACTTGTGGTTTTTTTGAGCTGGTATAACTTGCAAAGTGGTGATGGTTAGTGTCTATATGCAGGCCACTTAATCCTTATTCAGTAATACTTCTAAGCATTTCCATTTCAGGGATTCATTAGGTTTTTTAAGACTTTCTTCCACTATTATTTTTTCCAGAGTTTAAATGCTTCGGGTTTGTGAACTCCTCAATGGGAATATTTTTTAAGAATTAGCAAAAAGCTTTGCAATTTCTTTCAGTACAGAAAGGTATGGAAAATGTGCTTCATTTTGGCAACAATATTTGGGACTGCTAACAGTTGAGGTCTTGTAGCAAGCTAGTAAGGAATATATAAGTATTGGAAATAATTTCCGAGACATGCATGCAAATCTGCATAGAAGTTGAATAACTTTTTTTTTCCTAACCTTTTGAAGTAAAAGTTTCAAAATTTTAGTTGATCTGTATGTGACAATTAGTTTTCCCCAGAGTAAACTTAATGTACTAAAAAGGTAAGCTTTCAGTTGTACTCTGTATATTTCAGGATGCAAAATGAGAGCTGGTTTCTTCCTTCGGTAGGTTGGCATCGTTGTCATGGGTCTGGGCACTGGGTGGGGGCCAGCAGCCTGTGCTGCCAGGTCGCTTCTCCACAGAGCTAGTAAATAAAACACCCTTTTCAGTTTGGACCTCTCTTGACTTTAGAAACCTAAGAAACGTGTGCTCTGGTAATGTCCTGGTTGACCTTTTTACCCAGCGTAGGGTATGCCCAGTGAAGGAGGCAGGACTGCACGGTGAATCCCAAACAGTTTGGGGATTGCCCTCTCTGTGCCAAGTGGTTTCTCGTCTCCAGCATGTAATTATCAGGCAAATCCATTAAAGTCTTTAATCTATAATTAGGCTTATAAGTTTCCTTAGCCCTTTTGGTTTTCCTTTTTTAAATAAGAGAATGTAGTGATCTTACTCCATAAATCTGACATTTTTCCAGAGAAAGCTTTCTTGGAGGTTTCCTATTTATTTTTTTTTCTTCAGTTTTCTAAAATGAGTAGGTAAAGATCCCATTTCCATCAAAAAATGAACTGAAATTATCTGGTACAAGTGACTGTGATACAGAAGAGGAATTTTTTCCTGAGTACTAAGCATAAATATCTTTCAATAGGCTAAGGTAAATATGTATTTATAAAATTGGATTCATACAGTAGGTTTTTCTATTTAAAAAAGGAAAGTAAATTAATGTCATTCCTTTTACTCTGTTAATACATGAACATTTGGCAAGATAAATCATTTCTGTCACCAGACACTGTGTGAGGCAGTTCTCTGTTTGCCTCGGGACTGGTTACAGCCTGGGTGGTGGGAATGTTTGTGTTTCCCTGTGTAAGTGTGTGTGTGCGTGTGGGCCCACCTATGGATCTGTACGTGTGTGTGTGTGCGTACATGTGCCCACCTATGGATCTGAGCGTGTGTGTGTGCCCACCTGTGGATGTGTACGTGTGTGTGTGTGTGCCCACCTGTGGATGTGTACGTGTGTGTGTGTGCCCACCTGTGGACGTGTGTGTGTGTATGTGTGTGTGCCCACCTGTGGACGTGTACGTGTGTGTGTGCGTGCCCACCTGTGGATGTGTACGTGTGTGTGTTCGTGCCCACCTGTGGATGTGTACATGTGTGTGTGTGCCCACCTGTGTACGTGTGTGTGTGTACGTGTGTGTGCCCACCTGTGGACGTGTACATGTGTGTGCCCGTGGTTTACAAGACGTGCTGCTGCGCAGTGGTACCTCTGTGTCTGCGAGGCACTCTCATGTCCCTCCACTGCCCGAGTGTCATTTCTCCTCAGTGCTTCCTCATTTTCAGGTATTCTTTACAAAAATACTCTGCAGCCCTTTTCTTTCCTCATAATTTTAATTTTACAAAAACTCAGATTCAGACTTTTTATTTCTGTACCACAGATCTTAATAGAGATTGCCTAATCTTTAAAGAACTCCTTTTTTTATTGCAAACACAGTGGCATGAAATGGTAAATATATTCTCAGTGTGCTATAAGTAAGCAGTCTTAATGTAATTTTCTGGATGTTTTGGGGAACTTTGTTCCCCTAAATTGACCTAAGGGATGCTGTCCTGTTTTCTATTGATCAGTTCTGGCTTCCCTCTTCAGCTCCACATAGCATAGGTTTTGGAGGACTCACTGCTGTCCTGTTTTGGTAGGAGGGATGTCACACTTGCTTTGGTATCTCTTGGGACCTAGTGGTCCACAGCAGCTGAAGCGTGTCCTTCTGCCCCTTGCCAGTCCCAGTGACTCCAAGCAGTAAGTTGGAGGGGTGAGAAAATTGAAACATCTCTACACCGTTTCTGTTGGTTTTTGGCAAAACTGCTTGTACAGAATGCTCTAAGAAAAGGGGGAAAATGGTAATGAATACCATCATTATTTTAAAACTCCTTCAGGCCAGGGGAATCTTTAACAATTTACACATTTGGCTCAGCAGTAAGTTTCTTGGCATCCTTATGTTCATTAAGGAAGTTCATCTATATATTTATAGGAAATACATTCTGGAGCTTAATCCAAAGGTTTGCAAACTTCCTGGCTCTCCATAGAGCCAAAAACATGCGTTTCTATGTCTGTGGTTTTTTGTGTATTTCCCTATTATAACTTGGCAGTTCTGTGGTCTTCCCAAATCCTGCTTCAGTGTACATACATCTCAGTTCTGTTGCTGGTTTGTTTTTGGTTTTTTTTTTTTTTTTTCTCTTTATATGTTGCTGTTTCTTCACAGTTATATTTTTACTGTCTAGCATTTGTTTCATTTTCCAAAGCTCAAGTTATCAGTAAATTATGCTACTGTTTTTAACACACTTAGGTTCTATATTTTTTTTTTTTCCCCCCCTCTTTCTGCAATATTTTGGGAGATGCTTGTTCTTCTACTTGAGGTAATATAGTGAAAAGACAGCGACTCAGCAACTGCACATACACCAGCCCAGAATACCTCCTATTATTTTTCTTTTTAGGTCTTTGAGGGGGTTGCATATTTTTTAGTCATAATGCTGCTGCAGAAATGGGACTTCTGGAAGACGAGCATCCTGAAAGTTCTTGTGTGACTTTTCCATGTACATACAGTTCTTTTAAGATCCTTTGTTTGTTTTCTTACAGTTAGTAAATAGCATACAAAATCCTAATTTGAGAATAGTTTTCTGAAAATTAACAAATGCTTTTGCACTTACACTAAGTGTAATCCCCTGCCTTCCAGGTGCAAAGAGAAGAAGTATGATTACTACAGCCTGCCGAAAACCTCTGTTGTGATAGCTTTTTATAATGAGGCTTGGTCAACACTTCTGCGAACTGTCCATAGTGTTCTTGAGACATCTCCAGATATACTTTTGGAAGAAATTATCCTTGTAGATGATTACAGTGACAAAGGTAGGAAGAATAATTCTAAATAATGTTGATTGTTGATGGGGGTGTTTTTGGTCAATGAGTCCACAGGAAAAAAAAGATACGCTGTTTGGGTGGCATATCATAAACTTGTACAAAATAGGCATCTAATTGGAAAATAGTTTTTCGTGTGGCATACCATTTGAAAAATTTTGCTTCGTGACCCAATTTGGTTTAAAATGGGGAAACAATGTGTGATGTGCTGTAACATGAGTGATTGCATACATAGATAACCGACAGTCCCATCAGAGCACTTCAGGTTTCCTAGCCAGTTTCAATTGCTCTAAGGTTGCCCTGGTGTCTAGTACAGCGAGAGCTACCTGGTTGTCTGCTTTTGTTTGAATTATGGGACATGAAGCCAATGCTGTTTTTTTCCACCACACATGAACTGTGTTAAGAATAAAACTTTTACATGGAAAAAGTTTTATGTAACATTTGAGAAGCACTTCAAAATGTGGAAGTTAATTGCAGAGGCAAATGTGAAGCATTCAGTTTCTTGAAAGTCTCTGTGATTTGTGCCCATACAAGTTCTGCGTTTTTTCCTTGTCCTTTCCTAACATAGACAGTCTATCAGAAACTTCAAAGTGCTGGTCGTTAAGGCACTGCTCTAAGTACTACGCTACTGAAAGAAGACATTCTGTAGCATGACCTATACCGATCATCCCAGAGCTGTATCTTCTTTTTATATTTGTTACAGAACATTTAAAGGAGAGTTTGGAGAGCTACGTGGCCGGCTTACGCAAGGTGCGGCTCATCCGCGCAAACAAGCGAGAGGGGCTGGTTCGAGCCCGCCTCCTGGGGGCATCTGTGGCCAAGGGAGACATCCTGACCTTCCTGGACTGCCACTGCGAGTGCCACGAGGGCTGGCTGGAGCCACTCCTGGCCAGGTGAGGTGGTGCTCTGCCCTGGCCTTCTCCCACTGCAGGAGGAGAGGAGAGGACTCGGCAGGCTTCTGCAGTGGGAAAATGGCTCCTGGTACACGTTTACCAAAGGTTACTGCAGTCTGCCCCACGGGGCACTGCGAGCATTCACTCCTGGCAGCGGGGCAGTCAGTGGAAGTGTAAAAGATCAGGAGGTGGGTTTTTGTTTTCTCCTGAGGACCAGGCTGCTGTTTTTCTTCAGAGAAGGGAAAGTTTTGTTTTCGGGGACAGGAATCCTCCTCTAGCTTTGAAACTACCATAGGAAGGATGGCTCCTTCTGTCAGCCTGGGTGGTGGATGAGAAGGTCTGGAAAGATGTGTGTCCTGAGGCATCCCCAGTTTCAGGGCACATAGGCATACGCAGATTGCAAGGGAAGTCAACGAACCCCATTTTCCCAGTCCTGAGCTGATCCATCTCTCTCTCTGACTGGTGAGAGATGCACACACTCAAGCACACACTAGCTTGAGGTGTGCGAGTCTTCCTGATTCCTAGTGAAACTCGTGTGTGCAAACTCCCAATGTCCATTTGAAATTATATCTGGAAAAATACCTTTTTCCTTAAAACTGTTCACATTTAACTTGTTTCTAAATGTCATACCAAGTGCATTCCAGGTAACCGTGTGTGAACTCTGAAGAGTATAGATAGTGTCAAGAAAGGCAAAGGGGTAAAAATCCAAGAATAAACAGTTTTAATGACTGTCCTCGGAAGGAACGGTATGCAACTGTGGAGACAGCTCTGTCATTTCGTCACATCTTTAGGAAACCACTAGATGGCAATCTTGAGGAAGGATTTGGCTAATTTTCAGTGTCACAAACCACCTTCTGTAAAAAGTTATCCCTGGATGTGTCTCGGAATTTGTGCCCTTCTGGCTGCAGACGTACATATGCATGGCATATCTCGACTCACATGTGTGGAAGCAATACAGCAGTGTTAGGATTTTGCAGGGCAAACATAGTTGTATTTGTAAGCTGCCTGTGCATTGTACCTTCTAGTTAATTGTCAATTTACAAAAAAGCCTTTTCACTTTTCACTTACCTAATTCCTTTTGTAACTGAAATCACATGCCAGATGCCTATTTTTTTGCTTCTTTTTCCTTACCAGAGCAACAAAGCATTTTTATGTTTTATTGTTATTTTTTTCCCTCTGTGTACATATCATTCACATTGCTTTGTACATAAGCTTTATGCAAGTGAGACAGGAGATAGCAATATTTCTATAAGCTCTTTTGTGTGCTTTACCAAAGAGAATTTCAATGGGAGATCATAAAGAAGAAAACAGCTGTGTCACATCTTCCCCCTGGCAACAAGGGACCATTTCATATTTAAGGCAGCCTCTCTCAGACAATACTTCTTTGGAACTGCTTCTGTTCTCTGCTGCATTTCACCACAAGCTGCTCTAATTTCAGATCTAGGGCCCCTTGCTCAGCCTGCAGGTTTTAAGCTTAGTAATCCCATGAGGAGCTGGCTCCCCTCAACTGACAGATACATCAGGTCTCTTCCTTGTTTGGCAATATAACAGGTTCAGTTTTAATTCTCCTCTGGAATAACCAAATCAGAAGAGGCAGGGCTAAAACAAATACCAGCATCTTCAAGACAAACAAGTCAATTTTTCACTGAACTAACAGTGAAAGGAGATGTCTGAGACCAGGATAGAGAAGATTGCTAAACAGTGATTTAGGAGGAAAACCTTAGTTTGAGCTTGTATGCTTGAAGTCGATCTCTCCTGATACTGAGAGGCCTTTCTGGAAGTTGAAGTAAAGGCAGAGGATCCCATGGCCTTTTGTAAGGGCAAATGCTTTTGGAAAGGAACCCAGAAAACCCTGTATTGAGAAATCAGAGGAAGGAATTTATCTCCTTGCAGAAGTAGACATGCAAGGAATGTTGTCAGCTCTGATATATTCTTAGTATGATAAAGATCTTAATTGTTTTTACCTCAGCCTTGCTGATAGGTGTTCATTCTGCAGTCCTATCTTGTTTCTCCTTTTAACCTCCTATGTGGTCAGGGTTTCTGGAGGCCTCCTTCATGTATGTTTCACTGTTGGAGATCCAACTCCTGTGTCACATAGGTTTTTGTTTAAGCTGCTTTTTGAGTTACTTTTGGTAGTGCTCGGTACAACTTTTTGTAGATGATCACAGTTAGAAGAACAACTGTGAGCTAAGAGCCTAGCTACCTTATTCATCCTTGCAGAATGATAGTCATGCTGCTTGCTAAGCATCCTGAATGCAGCTACCTGTACAGAAGAAAAGAGGTGTTTTTGTTGAGAACATGGTGCTGGATATGGCAGCCAAGCCAGATGCTGAATGTGTTCTCTCAAGCCACCTGGAGTAGCTCACTTCCACTGCCCAGGAAGATCAATGCTTGCCAGGTGCCTACAGCTGAGTCCATCCTGACGCATCCTCCTGATGCATCCTCAGCAAGAAATATGTAGTTACTCTTGTAGCGACCCTTGTATTGCAGCATGTATTGAAAAGAAGCAAAACTGGGCATTTGGAATCTGTGAGTGTCCTCTGTTCTTGACAGTTTTATTTTTTGAGAGACATTTCTAATGGAAGTCACCTTTTCTTTTAAAATGCTGTTAGGATTGCGGAAGAAGAATCGGCTGTCGTCTGCCCTGTTATCGATGTTATTGACTGGAACACGTTTGAGTACTTGGGAAATGCTGGTGAGCCCCAGATTGGTGGATTTGACTGGAGGCTGGTCTTCACTTGGCACGTTACCCCTGAAAGAGAACAGAAACGGAGGAAGTCCAAGACCGATGTGATCAGGTTAATTTTTATGCATCTTGTAAAACTCTGAGCATTACAGGTGCTTTTGACTTCTCTTGGGCGTGCCAGGCGCTGAAAAATATTTGAGAAAAGAGCGTATTACTAAAAATTACATATCTTGTTTAGTTCCCTTTTTACCCAAAATAGCTCCTGTTCACCATGCTCTTGAAAAAATGCTGCTGTCATACCTGTGTAATCTTCCATATGGAATCCTTATTGCAAAAGCAGTCTCTGGACTCCTGAAGGTGAATTCTCACAGATGCTTATCAGCACAGGGGAAGGATGTAGCTGATTAACTAATATTAAAGGATGTCCCCTGCACAAAGCAAAGAGATCCACGTTGTAAAAAATGTCTTGTGGTCAACAATGAAAACGGGGGAAAAAAATCATCAACCTGTAGGAAGGCAAAAGTATTTTTGGAGACTTTCTGTGCCATGGTGATAGTGACGGTTCCATGCTCTGTTTTCAAAGATGAATCCGTTTACCAGTTCTTGGGATGAAATGATACAGCTCTACCCACCACAGTTTCTATGAAAGGCTAGCACATAGGAGCTCGTGGATGTCTTCTTTGTGGGTTTTAGTTTTGATTTGTTTTACAATAAGTTGCAATTAGTCAGTTTCATCTGTCACTCCATACTGTATTTTTAGGAGAGGTAAGGTAAGAGTACAAACAATGCATCTGGAAAATGGACACTCTAGACAAAATCCTGATAGCTGAGGGTCTTCTCACTCCATTTGGAAGTTCCTGTAATTCAGCAGTGTATTGTTAGAAATGAAGCAGTCGTTTGGCATTTTTAGCATCACGATTTTGTTAGTCCTTGCTTTTATTTATAGTCTGTTATCTTATGGACTACAACAAATACAGAATTCTCTAAGAATTTTCTCAGTCTTTTCTGGGTTGCTTATCATGGTAATAATACCCAGTTCTTCACAAATGTTAATGAACTTTTCCTCAACTGAGAGAATGTTTTGAATGGTAAAAGTGAGACAGTAATTTAGTCCTTCTAAGCATATATTAGTCCACATCCTCCAGAAAAAAAGTTTCAACATAGAGTAACTGTTCTTAAAGCCTTTATTTAAAATATGATTCTTTTCTTCTTCATGACAAGAATTGCCTTTGACATGACAAGGGGAAAACGATGAGAGATAAAGCTTCACAGTAGCCTGAGGAATGTGAGCTTAGGAAGTGTCTGGAGGAAGTAGCAGTACTGAGAGTGGTGTCACAGACAACTGTGTTTGGAAAGACAAGATCTGGAGTGAGACAGAAGAGCTTGACAGGTTATGGAGTTTGGGTTGTTTTTTTTTTCTTCTGTCTTGCCTCATCTTCTTCCATTCTTTGAAACAGCATATGACAGTGTAAGACAGAGTTGCTTCAAAAAGATGGCTGGTAAAATCAGTTTTGACAGACCAAGAGTAACTGATCACTGCACCTATCATTTGTTGATATTTACCCTCAACTGCAATTTGGTAAAATTCGTAAAGTGTCAGCTGAATTTAGTTCCAACCAGCATTATGTGCTTGGCACTTTGAAGAGGGTAATTTCCTAAGACTAAACAATTAGTAACAATAATGAACAAATTTGGTTTTATATCTACACACACTACCCTACTGAAAGTGCATCCCCCAAGTGTGCTGTTGCTCTGGGCTTTGTGGTCTTCGGTGAGGATCCAATCTTGGCCACTGATTTTTCTTCCAAACATGACAAAGTATGAGAAAACCAGCCAACAGATAGGCACATCTTGGAGAAAACCTCTTCAGGTGCTCTGCTTGCTTAATTCTGCTCAGTAGGTGGCTGAGAGTTTTTCCACTTGATATTAATGGGATCAGAAATATTGTTATTAATTGCTAAAGCACAAGGGTGTTTACTTACTTAAGTAAAATATATAAGGATACTGCACTGTTACTTTGTATCCAGAAAAGATTGAGAAAACGGAAAATAAAAATATATTGTATTTTTTATCTATGGTTTCTTAATGTATATTTTCCACTTTTTATTCAGTTCATAGTTGCTACTTTCTTTTGTAGGTCTCCAACCATGGCAGGTGGATTGTTTTCTGTGAGCAAGAAGTACTTTGATTATCTTGGTTCATATGACACAGGAATGGAAGTCTGGGGAGGAGAAAACCTTGAATTCTCATTTAGGGTCAGTAGCTCTGTTGAAAGTTTTGGGTTTTTTTTTGTTGTTTGTTTGGGGGTTTTTTTGGTTTGTTTTTTTTTCCGAGGACAAAACAAGTTTCTTGTTTCTTTCTTCATGCTCTTTGTTAATGTTATGCTGTAATGTTAGCAAGTGTTAAAAAGATAATATCTTGGGAGTTGTTTATATGAATCTCTTTTCCTTGTTCTTCAGTGTAGTTATATTTTCCTTCGAAGTAGCCATGTTAAAACAGTTTTTTAAAATACTTTTATTTTGAATGCCAGTATAAAATGGAAGTAGTGGTGTGATATTAGCAAATGACATTTGCATTCTGTGGCTGGAAGACGATCGTTGGAAATAAATGTTTAGAATGCTTTAATGTGACTCTGGAGCTCTCACAGTATTGATGGAGTGAGCAGGAGGCAGCTGGTGGCAGCTACCAGCAGGGCAGGACAAGTCACCACCTGTGCTTCTTGAAGGCTTTGTTCCCTTTTGCTTTAGGAAGAGTTTGTATGAAGGTTATAAAAGGTGATGAGGAGAATCTCCAGGAGCTGTAGATCTGTACCCCACCAGAGGGTGGACCAGTGCTCAGGTGTGAACCAGATAGTTATGCTGGCATGAAAAGTGTTTATGGCAAGGGAAGAGAGAAGAGATAAAGACAGTCCAGACTGGTGAGCAAAAGAGTTTTGTCCTCCTTGACTCCACTGTTACCTGTGTTGCTGCTGAGCGCTGGCTGCCTGTGCTTTGCCCTGTACCACCCTTAGCCTGCTGAAGCAATCCACTGGTGGTGTAAGAGGTAGTTCACAGCTTAGTATCCTGGATTCCACTTGCCTTTTTTGTTCATCAGGTATGTTTTATGGTCATATTTGCATCTCTGTGTATCACTGGATTGTGGGAGGAGAGGGTTGGTGGTTGTGTTTTGTTTTTTTTTACCAGGTGACAACAGATTTCCAGGATTCATGCCTGTTCAAGGTCAAGTTGGATGAGACTTGGAGCAACCTGATCTAGTGAAAGGTGTCCCTGCTCATGGCAGGGGTCTGGACCAGATGATCTTGAAAGGTCTTTTGGAGCTCAAACCATTCTATGATTCAGAATAGTATTTGGATGCTACAGAACCACTCACCTGAGAAAGAAAGCATCACCAGACTGTCTCACGTGAGATGTCTGCCTGTTAAGCAGAGAGGCACAGAGTCTTCCTGGCTACTGCTCCTGTCTCCTGCTGCCCGTAACGCAGAAATCCTGACAAAGAGAGCACGAAGATAAGGAAAGAAAAGGATTAGGGAGGATAATAAGCACAGCCCTACAGTTGACATGGTTTCTCTCTGCAAGAGGATTTCTGAGCCAGGATCACTGCTTGAATTCACGACCGCCTCCTTTCTCACACAGGGAGAAGTTTCTCTGGCATGCAAGTCCAAACACACAGCCTGCTTGTCTTGGTCAGTATTCAGCAGGTCTTAGTCTGAAGCTCCAAGCAGCTTACCTGCAGCATACATGTGTATGTTGCAGTGAAACCCTCTCTCTACTGCCAGGGATCTGTTTTCTGTGGGACAATTGCTTCACCCTGAGGCCAGGAGGTATGAAACACCTCTGTATAGCTGATATCCCCCTGAGCCAGGAGGAAACAGTTCACAACCTGCTAGGCCACCTGGTCACTCAGAGAACTATGGGCCTGGATGAGATCCACCCGAGAGTGCTGAGGGAGCTGGTGGAGGAGCCGCTCGCCAGAATTTACCAGCAGTCCTGATTAACAGGGGAAGTCCCAGATGACTGGAGGCTTGCCAGTGTGACACTGATCTGCAGGAAGAGCTGGAAGGAGGATCTGGGGAACTACAGACCTGTCAGCCTGCTCTCAGTGCCAAGGAAGACTGTGGAATGGTTCATCTTGAGTGCACTCACACGGCATGTGCAGGTCAGCAGGGTGATCAGGCCTGAGCAGCATGGGTTCATAATATGAACTCCTTCTATGACCACGTGACACACCTAGTGCATAAGCTAAAGGCTGTGGACATTGTCTCCCACAGCATTCTGCTGGAGAAGCTGCTGGCTCATGGCATAGACGGGTGGACTCTGCTGGGTTAAAAACTGGCTGGCTGGCCGAGCCCAGACAGTTGTGGTGAAGGGAATTAAATCTGGTTGGTAACCAGTCATGAGCGGTGTCCCTCAGGGCTCTGTTTTGGGGCTGATCTTGTTTAATACCTTTATTGGTGATCTGCATGAGGGGATCAAGGGCATGACACCAAACTGAGGTGGAGCGTTGATTTGCTCAAGGGTAGAAAGGCCCTGCAGAGGGATCTGGACAGGCTGGAGCAATGGGCAGATAGATGAGGTTTAACAAGGTCAAGTGCTGGGTCCTGCATGTGGATGTCCAGGCAATGCTACAGGCTTGGGGAGGAGTGGCTGGAAACTGCCTGGCGGAAAGTGATCTGGGGCTGCTGGTGAACAGCTGGCTGAACATGAGCCAGCAGTGTGCCCAGGTGGCCAAGAAGGACAATGACATCCTGGCCTGTATCAGAAATGGCATGTCCAGCAGGAGCAGGGAGGTGATCATGCCCTTGGACTAGGTGCTGGTGAGGCCACAGCTTGAGCACTGGGTTCAGTTTTGGGCATCACAGTACAAGAAAGACATTGAGGTGCTGAAGTGTGTCCAAAGAAGGGCAACGAAGCTGGAGAAGGTCTGGGGACATGTCTTATGAGGAGTGGCTGAGGGAGCTGGGGTTGTTTGGTCTGGAAAAGAGCAGGCTCAGGGGAGACCTCATTGCAGTCCACAACTAACTGAGTAGAAGTTGCAGTGAGGTGGATGTTGGTCTCTTCCCTCAAGTAACCAGCAATAGGACAATAGAAAATGAGCTTAAGTTGTGCCAGGGGAGCTTTAGACTGGATATTAGGAAGAGTTTCTTTCCTGAAAGAGTGGTGAGGCACTGGAACGGGCTGCCCCTGGACATGGTGGAGTCACTATCCCTGGAGGTGTTTGAAAACCGTGTAGACATGGCACTTTGGGGCATGGTCTAGTGGTCATGGTAGTGCTGGGTGATGATTTGACTTGATGATCTTAGAGATCTTTTCTAACTTTAATGATTCTATGATTCCATTTTTATGCCTTCTTTTGACACACTGCTCAGGGAGCCACAAATAACAATAACCAGAGTTCGTAGTTGAGGGCCCAAAGAATTGGTCGTGGTTGTCATCAGTCACAACCCAGGGTGGTTTAAACTGCAAAGCAGTGTGGTGGTGGACGTCATCCCCAGCTAACTCTGGCAAGGGAACTTTTTCTTATTCTTACTTACTGAGGAGTTAGAAGGGGGGTGGGTGATGGCAAAGAGGGAATCGTGCATTTTTGGGTAGAGATGCTTACTGACCTGAGGATTGCTTTCTCAGCTGTGATACTATTGTAGCAGACAAATAAGCAGAGACAGGAGACTGTAAGGTAGATCAGAGAGCATGACACCATCTTGCACAAATACATAGCATGACAGTAGCAAGTGTTGGATTTGTGCATCTCTTGAGCAAGACTGACTCTTGCAGGCACTTGTTTGTGTCTGCTAGTGCACGTCCAAGCAGGTGGAGCACCCGTGAGGTGAAGAGGATGCTGCTTTTGGCAGTAGTACTCCACCTCTCAGCACAAGTACTCGCGTATAACGAGTGCCCCTGCACTGGCTGCTGCTTTGGACCCAAGCTCTCAGTGCTTTGACCTCTACCAGGCTCTGTCAGGAAGTCTCCTTTCTGATGTTGCTGGTTCCCCTGAACCAGGGGTTTGCCCCCTTGAAGCACAGCAGCCTGAATGAGCAGTGCCTTTGCTCCTGCAGCCTGGGGAAATGTGGTCCTCTCACGGGCTGGAGGAAGCATCGGAGCTGCCTAGCACACAGGAGAAGCTCAAAACGAGCAGCAGCAGAGTCCTCAGGAGCCAGCGTGCTGGGGGCTGTCCATGGGCACAGTCCTATGCTCTGCAGGGGCTGAGTGAGCACATGGGTACACCAGCCCAGGGGGCTAAGCCTGGTCCTTCAGCAACCATGGGTGTGCAGCATGCCATGCACCAGGGTGAGAGTGGGGACGTGGCTCATGGTGGGTAAGAGAGGCACTTAACTGAGGAAGCAGAGTGGAAGCTCTGTTGTGGGGCTCCCAACAGGCTGATCAAGAGGTTTTCTTCTGGGGACCAAGTTTTGCATGACAGCCTGCACAAGGGCCGGCAAACATACCTCTGTGTGTTAATTTTACTAGTGCAGATTGCCAGTAAGATCTGGGCATTTGGATCCAAATTGTGCATGACGTGCCTCCCTCTATTTGATTTCAAGCCCCTGTACTTGTGCTTCCTGCAGTGAGGTTGTTTTGTGAGGAGAGCAGAATGCTATGATGTTGCTTAGCTGTGGTGTTCTGGCTGCCCATGGTGCTGAAGAAGGTCAAGAGGGGTAAATCAGTGTTAATTCTGTTGTCTCTGTTGTTTCTAGACCTGCCAGACCTGAAAATTAGGAGCAGGGACACTGAAAAACACTGTAAATTAATTCATTGTTCTTCTAGTCTCTAAAAACACCACCCTCTACCAATGACATGAAAGGACTTGTCCTCAAGGCTCCTCTTTCTTGTACTTTGATTATTCTAAACTGAAAAAATGCTCTGTAGTTTTGAGAGGTGCAACAAGGACAACGCTCCAGCTAAAAGCAGGATGACTAAGAGGGGTGGAGGCTATGTGCTGAATGCAGGATTGAGGCAATGTGCCTTGATTTCAAATTGCTTAATGCTATTTGGCTGTATAAAGTTTCACTTCATGGGCTTAATGGGCATTGAAACTCCTCTTTCTGAGGATACAGAACCTGTCTTTTCATCTTCTCCCTCCTGTACATTGAGAGAGAGGAACCTGGTTGTGGTTTTTCTTCCCTTCTCTGCACTTGGTCCTGCTAGTGGCACTGCAGTGTAAGTTTGTTTCTGGGGACTGCTGCTTGAGACACCACCTGTGGTCTGTCCTTCAGCTCACCATCGTGGCATAAGAGAAAACCAAGCACATGCAAAAAGACAAAATTATTTACTGATAAGCTCTTTCTTCTGTTGGAAATGTCATTGCCTGTGAGTCTGGATGATGTGCCTTGGATTACCTGGGGTCTTCTCTTTTCTGACCTTTTTATATTGTTTCTTTCTGTCTGGATTTGGAAATCTGTCTTGCAAGAGGAATAGCTGGGATGGGTTCATATGACCAGGGAGGCACCCCCCACCCCCACTCAGGTGGGGCTCAGCCACAAGCCAGCACGCAAAATTGCAGCAGAGACAGAGGCAGGACCAGAGTATTTTCCTCAGTTTGTCTATGTTCAGGAAATAGCATCTGTGAGAAGTGGGTGCTACTGGTTCCTGACAGCATCCTCTTTTTATTTTTTTTTTTATTTTTTCTTTTTTTTTATTTCTCCCAGAGAGAAAAAAAAAAAAAGAGTGGAGGTGGTAGAGCTTATAGAGCTTTTCTTCTTTAGCATTCATTGACCCAGAATTAGGTCAGTTGTCCAGAGACTCTGTCAGGGATGAGGATCCCAGGGCCAGATCTAAATATTTTCTGTAGCTTTTTGTAGCACCATCATCTGTCTGTGGGGAAAAAAAAAAAAAAAAAATCAATAAATCTGCATGCATCGAGGTGAAAGTGAAAGTAAAAAGTAATGTCACCTTGTTCTCTTTTTGTGGTGAAGGCAAACCATTGCTCTTGTAATCAGAGCTGCCAGGTAGTCAGACCTAGTAAAGAAACATATTTTCCTGCACGTGACTGTGCAAAGTATACATGAAATCTAACGTGCTTCTCTGTTACAGAAGGTTGAACTAGTTTTAGGGGAGAATCTTCTCCAGAGTCACTTATTTAGCATTTGCAAGTCAATTTTGTTTTCTTTATTGCATTTCTTGCTTTTTTTTCATGGCTGTTCATTCGAACCTGATTTTATAGAGAGGTTGAAATGTTTTCCATTAAAATGAAAAGAAATAAACCTTTTGAGGAACTGTTTAGCTGAAATAGTTTTAATTTTTGTTTGTAATATGAACACAAGAGCAGTTTTGAACTGTCTTAATGAAAGAATCAGAATTTAATGAGCATTGCTTAGCAACCTACAGTTGTTTTTTAGAGAAATTCGGAGTTGTAATTAAGATCAGCTGTTCTGTATTTTTTGGCAGCAATTGAACGGAGATATGGTCAGTCTGTTTTAATCCATTTAAATCAGACTTTATTACAGAAGCATAAATGAATGTGCTTACTTCTTAACTGTACAGTTTTACTTCAGTAGTCTTTAGGGTCTGTTCCTCGTAGCTTGGTTAAAAACAGACTGGTCAAAACAGTAATGATCATTAAAAAAATACTTATATGGAATATAATAAATATGGAAAAAGTTAAACTTCAATAAATGTAATGGTGCTTCATCTTTGCTGACAAATAGATCTTGCTGATAAATTTAATCTGTTAAAGAAGTCATCTAGATATAGAAGTATGTTAAGAAAGCTATTGGTTTGAAACAGCCCAAAAAGGGAGATCTTAAAGTGAAAGTGAATAGCTGGTTTCGTAGCAGCTTTCGAGATGGCAGTAGTATAACTTCTGTGCAAAAGTACACAAATTGTTTTAAAAGATCAGTACAGAATTCTAGATTTCTTGTGTAGTTCCTTGAAGCATATTTCTGCTGAAATGAGAAATATGCTGCTTCCCCTAAAGGCAACCAAAAAAAAAAAAAAAAAAAAAAAAAAAAAAAAAAAAGAGACCTCTCATGAAAAACGAGACATTGAAATTTTAAATCCAGGAAGTAAAGATTAACCAGTGCTCCTTATAGTTGAATAATGAATTACCTATATCTTTAAGGAAACAATTTGTTTTAAAAGTAAACATAGGTATTAGAGTGCTTAGAATTTTGTTTATTAAGCATAGTGTTGTGTGTAAAGGCCTGACATCCCCAAACTCCCCCAAAATGTCCATCTTGTGCATGTGGAAAGCCTTCACCTGCAGTGGCCTTCTGGATCCCTAAAAGTCCTAGGGAGAGAAAGAGAAAAATTTTAATCTGATCCGTTGCTGTTAAGTACAGAAGCTTATTTGCTACCTCACCGCTTTCACTCCTGACATGTTCATCTGAATAACATGTATTTGTTGTACAAAAAGGCTGTCAGGGAGCAAACCTCTCTACCCCTTAAGTGCATCTCAGCTAATTTCCCTTGTCCTCTGTTTACAAAGGAGAAGTGAGTTGAGACCTGTGTGTGGCTGAATACACGAGGGGAATTGGCTCACTGGACTGCCAGTTCTCAAACCTCTGCAGGAGCTCTGTGGCAGCCATTGGGGATAGCCTCAAGTCTGTCCAAGTGCAGCAACGTCTCCTGCCTTTCCTCCCATCTGACAGTTTCAGAAACCTTGTCTCAGGCACCTGTCAGGAATGGGTCGTCTGCCCCTCTGTGCACAGTGCTAACTGGGAGATGTCTAGCCGTGCTTTCCTTTCATTATATCAAATCTGAAGTCAGTTCCTGTTGACTGAGCTGCCAAAAGTCTACAGTTTGCAAAGGAGATGAGAGTAGTTACAAAAATCTGCACAGAGTTCTGAGACTAGTGTCCCTGCTGGGTGGTCATTTATGGGTTTTATCTCCAGGGCCATTTGTTTCCTGACTTGGAGTGCCAGAGGCATGAGGGTGAGGGCAGAATGAGTTCTGCCAAGTCCACGTTTGGGTTCAAGTGCTTTCCTTGACAGCAAGTAGGAATATTGATTTAGGTAGGTTTGTTCACCAATCTTGGCTGAACCACCATGGGTCAGCTACAGAATTCCCTTGCTTTTTCTTTTCGTGTGTTGGATCTTTTGTTCTTCTCCTAGTTTTCCAATGAAAAACGTTAGTGATATTTTATGACCAGGCACTCGTACTTGTCTTCTGAAGTGGTGAATATAGAAATGGCAGCACAACTTATCTTTCTCCAATAACATGACAAGTTTACATGGATTGTCAAGTCAGCTTTCCTACAGAATACAAGAGTAAGTTTCTGGTAAGAAATCAGTCATCAGTTTCTTTGAGGAGGCTATTCGTGTGGCTGATCTCTTTTGTTAATAATGCCTACAGAAGTTGTATTGTAGGTCACAGTTAGACCTGCAGAAGTATCATAAACCATTTTTTATCATGCCATCAGAGAAAGTAAAGCTAAGAAAGGGATAACTGCACACCACCTAACACCAGAGACAGGTTTATTTCCTTCTTACTCCCAGTGATTTGTTCTGAGTTCCCAAAGATGTCATTGACTCATCACATGAGACATGCAAAAATTGTATGTGTTGCTTATTGTGTGCTGTGATGTTCCTGAGAAGATATTACCCTTGCAAAGGATTTACTGATACTGTATCTTTCTGCTCTCAGAGCTTCAAATTAATGATGCACAATGTCAATTCTTTGGTCAGATATGGCAGTGTGGAGGAAGCCTGGAGATCCACCCTTGCTCACACGTGGGTCACGTGTTCCCCAAACAAGCTCCTTACTCGCGGTCCAAAGCTCTGGCAAACAGCGTGCGTGCCGCTGAGGTGTGGATGGACGGCTACAAGGAGATCTACTACCACCGGAACCCACACGCCCGCCTGGTGAGCTCTAGTCCGTGGTTCTTGGAATTTCAGTGTCATTTGTTTTCAATGAATTAACTATTAATTTAGCTAATATTTAACATAAAGTGCTTTTTAGGTTTATTTCTTATTTCTTCTGAAACTTTTTTTTTTCCCTATCAAACAGAGAATAAGTATATATATGGTTAATTTTTAATTCTGTGGAAAAAACGGAAATCCTTTTAGACTAGAAGGTGGCCACATTTGTGTCAATATTGAATGAATGAATAAATGAAAGAATAAAGTTAAGCAAGGTGATCCAAGTAAGGAGAAGCTGTTTAGCCTAAAATGTGCACTTCTATGAAAGAGCTGATATGCAACCTGTAAATAAAGAATTACGAAAGAAACACAATTAATGAATGTTAATCAACAATGTTCAATGCACAGTAGCACTTTAAGTGGACAGCATGGTAACAATCTTTAGCAAAATTAGCTGTTTTGTGATGATTGTAAACCTTTGGACTCATGTAAGACATAATAAACTCTTCTGTTTGATTTACTGCTGCACAACACTTGATTTAAAAAAACAAAACAACACAAACCAAACTAAAATCAATATTGCAAAAATTAATTGAAATCAGTCCTGGGAACTCAGATGAAAATGTTCTTAATAAAACATTTGAAGTATTCAGTTCTGTCAGTTCTGTGGGGTTTTCTGTTGGTGTTTTTTTTTTTTTTTCTTCCCTAGACTTCTCAGGAGTTAAATACTGTGAAAATGGAGATGGAAACAGTAAAGCAGTGTGAAAATTCATAGCTTGGATATATTTATTGTGAGGGGACTATAGGCTGGAAGATGATAACAATGGGATATCCTCACAAAGTGTAGAAATTACTCGCATGAACCTCTGGCAAAAAGTCCAAAATTCATGGCTAAAAGAGATCACTCTGCTGTTGCTTGTTTCTGGAGGTGCCAAATCTCCTCAGGCACTTCTCGTTCCATGGAAGGTTTTCCAAGTGCTGGCTCAGTGGTTTTGTGTGTGGGGAGAACTGCCCTGCGGTGGGCTGCTGGGCACCCACCTCTGGCTACGCTGACCCAGAGTGTAGGGACCAGGCAGGGTTCTAGGGAGCTCCCCACACATTTGAGTGGCCTACCCCAATAGATGTGCTGGGGGAAAAAGTGCTCTTGAAGCCATTAAGCTTTTAATAGATACAGTGGAGGACACAGGGGAGGCTGAATTTAGTTAGCTTCCATCTCATGTTCCTTTGGATTAAACTGGGTAATTAGATTATTATAGTCTATGCATTTGTAATAATTGTTTTACCTGAACATCATAAAAGCTATTTAGGTTTTATTATTAGAATCTGACTTTGAGAGAAATACAGGGTTTGTGTATCTGAAGACAGGAGCTCACAGGCAGTGCCAGGCTCATTCTGCTTGTCATATGCACGGAGAAAACAGCAATAAATGCTGACAGTTTTTTTGTATAAAATTCTGGGCAGTTGATGTGTGTGATGACAGAATTTAAACTTTAAAGGATATTTGTGTTTTGGTGTTGGAAGTTGTGCGTACTGGCATATTGTAACACGGTGGTTGTAAGCTGAGACTCGTGCATTTTTGGCACATCTCAAAGCTGCCCCCAGTACACTCTTGTTTCCGTAATACTCTCTACACCACTTGTTGAAGCAGCTGATTTCAGACCCTTTTACTTCACCTAACCCTAATTCAGTTCCATGGCATAATGGAAAAATAATTGATGCTACGGCTGCAGAATTTGGGCTCATAAAGTTTCGCTTAAAGCTTAGTGTTCAGACCTCAGAGCTAATGTGTCGTGCTGTTTGTTTACTCCAACAGGCATCTCTGCCTCTGTTTTACAACTGCTTTGTGTTTTCAGTTGTGTTTCCACAGCTTTGAGAAATGCAAATGTATTTCTGGTTTGATGAAGGCGTGTGTCGAGCGACCTGTAAAAACTGGGGAGCTGCAAATGGTATCTCATGTCTGACTGTCTGAAGTCCCTAGTCAATGACAGAGTTTTGAAGACAGACATGAAAAGATGTGAACTCTGCTCCAGTCTATGGATAGGGAAAAGTCTTCAATGAAAGCTTTTCTCTGGAGGTTTAAGATTTCATACTCCTCGCCCCCAAAACTATGACATTCAGAGGAAATGTTAGCAGATTTTACAAATTTCATCAGTTAATTGTAAAACTGTCTGTACAGGTATTTTTCAAATGGATGGTATAATAATTTAAAATTCTCAAAATTCAATCACTGCTTTTGAGATTTTCAGTTACCAACCTAAAGGAAGTTTTATTTTCCAGTACACTTTTTCAGTTACCAGCAGTCTGTATTCAGGGACTTCCCTACTTTACAGATTTGAGTTTTCTCAGACAAACCATTTTCTAAAATATTTTAAAGTTTTACATGTGCTGTTCCATTTCTTTTTTGCTAACATTTAACAAATGTAAAGATAATTAAATCAAATCCAGCACCCAAACATGAGGATTTTTCCTGGCTAGAAGTCCTACTCATCACTTGAGCATACGGTTCCTTAATAATGTATACAGATAATTTAGAAGAAAGCATCTGTTCTAGTTGGGGTATTTTTTTTATTTTTTTTTTAATTTTTTTTTCTTTCAGGAACCATATGGAGATGTGACAGAAAGGAGACTACTTCGAGAGAAGCTGAAATGTAAGGACTTCAAATGGTTCTTGGAGAACGTGTACCCAGAACTTCACGTACCTGAGGACAGACCAGGCTTCTTTGGAATGGTACGTGGCTCCTGAGAAGGGGCCTCCTCACGGTTCTCTGAGCATTCCTACTTATTCAGCATGAAGGTATTTTTATGCCAAGATCAGGTTGGGCTTTTAGTAGAATTCAGTTAGAATTGGTAGGCTTGAAAATGTGGTTTCTAACAGAATCCTTATTCTAGGGGATGCTGTTTATTAAGTTCTGTGAGAGGATAAGAGAAGAGGTGATGTTGCCATGAATTACACCTTCCAGGTGACACCTTGGGAGTGTTAAAGACAGCAAAGGATGACTTTTTTTATTTCTTGAAATGTTACATTGCAAAAAAAAAAAGGGTACCAAAGTGGCTCAGATTGTCGTTGTCTACTTGAAAGTAAAAAGAGTGTGCTTTGAAACTTGTATTTGCACATTTTAGCTGATGAAAAGTGGTGCTCTGATGATGGGAAAGAGAGCTGCTGCTATGTGCTCCCAGATCATACAGAATTCTGTATGTCAAAACCAACATGTTGATTTTTATTCTGCAGGTTCGCTTTAGACCAGCACAGGTTCACAAGCAATTGTCATTGGTTCAGGATCAGAATCTTCTCCTTTCTTAAGAGTCGACAACTTTCCATGCTTTTTGAATCTTACAAATAAATATAAACTATAGTTCTGTGTATATCACATTACTGTAATCTCATCTGGAAGGGATGAAGGCAGGGATGATGTAGCAAATATCTGCTTCTTCTGAAAATTAAGAGGATTGTGCTGCGTGCTGCATTAGGAAGACAAGACTGCACCTTTCTGCCAGTCAGGGACATGTAAAATGCCTTCCTGATTAGCAGTGCCACATCGACTCAGAAGTACTTTTGTTGGTAACTTGATCACTCTGCAGGTCTAGCTAAGCTGCATTCCCACACTGCTGCATCCCTTCCAGCCCCTATCACAACAGTCCTGTCTTCCTGCCATCTGCACTTCAGTTACTCAGTCTCTGCTGGATCACCTCCAGTGGAGAAGAAAAACTGATCACTGTGGGCATACCAAAGATACAAGAACCAAGACTACTCACAGTCTTTCCTAATAGCCTTGTTACTTGCTGAACAAACAAGGTCCTAGCATGGAAATGCTGTAATTCCCACGGGGAGCTGTAGGAGCTCCCATAGGGAGCACATCAGTTGGCAGCAAAGTCCCCTTAGGAGCCTCTGAGATAGCAGCTTCTCTCCTCTCTTTGTCTTGGAGTTTAGACTTGAGTTGGTGTCTCTGTGTGGTTACTGGTATGAAAGGTAATATCCACCCTTTTCCAGTACCTCGAACAGCCCCCAGTACAATGTTGCTTTCCTTTTGTTTCGTGCTGCTTTGCTCTCTGACAAGGTCAGAGACAGTTGAAGCAATAAGATATTACAAGACTTACCTTCCAGGAAAGTTACCTTCAGTAACCTTATACTCCCCTCCACCTCCATCCCTCAGACTTCAAAAGAAAGCCTAGACTGGTGGCAGTGAAGCTGCTTCAACCTGCTGGGCAGGGGAAGGGATTTGTGCAGTTTCTTTCACAACTTAACTGCACGTGTCATCCTCAAGAACGATGTTCACAATACCTAGAAACAGTAATTCTTGTTCAGAGCTGCTTGAGGTTATCTACAGTGTAATTTAGGTGTGCTCTATATACTGTCTAAAAACAATTCTTAAATGCTGTCATCTAGTTGTGCGCACAATAGGAATACACCTCTTTTTTTTTTTTGTCAGGAAGAGTTTAAAATGTGATTAAAGTACAGTTATACTCTAAGAAAGTGACAGTGCAGAAATGACACCTACTGATTCAACTGATTTGTGGATATTGAGTCCCATCTGCTGACTTCAGTGAATCATTGTTCGTGTTCCTTGCTCCTGGCTTAGCCATGTAGTGCTTTCCTGGTTTACAAAAATACAGTGTTTAAAAGAGTTGGATTTGTTAACAGCTCAGCTTCATGTGAAGTTATTTAATTGTTCAAAGAGATTGCAAAGGGGCATGGAGATTTCTTCCTGCCTTGAAAATCTTTACACTGAAGTTGAAAAATCTAAGATCAGCCATGTGATATTTAATAAATGCAAGTAGTGTTGAGCAGCACTCAGTGCCATCCACTGATAATTGGACACTTGCATTAAAATTTTTCTCCTGATATGTAGATAAATTTTTACTCTCTGTACTGAGTTTTGTTGTCCAAAAGGTTAGCTGCCTAAAACTTTATTTAAACCTACAGAATTTTGAATATTTTTGCCTGAGCTATGTTTGCAATTTTATAAACTGCCTGAGGCCTTGAAATAACTCCTTACTAGTAAGTTGAGTAGACTTTATACCAAAATCATATAGCATGAGTAAATGTGGAATGCCACAATGCTGAATTTACTCAGTACTCTGAAAAAAAAATCAAATTTTGATGAACGGTATTATCAAAATTATGACTGTTCTTTTTTATAAAAACTGTTTGGTTGGTTTTTTTTTTTTAACTTAAGTGAGATTTTTCCATAGAAGTTCCAGTATTGGAACAGTAGAGTCAAGTTCAAAACATAACATTTCAAATGTTAATGCTACAGAGGCCATTATGAGATGAATTTTGGAAAAATATTCAAATTGCTGTGAGAGCTTTAGTTAGAAAGGTAACTAGAGGGACAACTTAAACTGCCACAACATTGAGGGCTATGCCCTTTTTTGCGTAGCATCTTTGTTAGGAGCACGTCGTCTGTCCCTAGTCAATATTTTGATGAAAAAAAGAAAAAAATTGCAGAGGTTAATCTGACTTCCCACGTGAGCTCCCAGTGTTGCTTGTGCAGTGGCCTGTTAGAGCAAGGTGAAGGAGAAGCTCCGAGAGCTGCAGATGAGGGTGCATTAAATTTCTTGTCGGGGCAGGGCAGCTGGCAGGTCGGGGCCTCGCCCGGTCTGTGCCGTGGCTCTGGAGAGAGGCAGGGAGATGTGTTGTACTGCGAAGGTGCTCAGGCACTGCAACTGCTGCTCAAGGGCAGGTTGGACAGGGCTCTGAGCAATCCTCTAATGGAAGATGTCCCTGCCTGTGGCCGGGGGGTTGGACTAGACAGTCTTTGAAGGTCCTTTCCAGCTGAAACCATTCTGGGGTTGTATGATTGTGTCTCCTGGCTTAATTTAGGCAGCTGCCATTTTTAAGCCATACAATGCCTTGGGCAGCTGTACAAGAAGAGTCTTTCTGGTCCTTGGGCTCCATGTAGCTTTGGAATTTTTTGTGAGATGTGAACTAAGCATTTTTACAATTTATTTCTTTTGTGGGAGTGAAGTTGGTAGGTACTATAGTGGCTTAAAATAACAAGATATCAGTGTTTCTGGAAAGGCTGATAATCCCTTTTAGGTTCTTGTATAGAGCACTGATGCCTCTCTTTTCCTGGTATTGCATCTGATTTGGCCATCCTTGAATATGCACTTACCAATGTTCTGAACTTGTGCCTCAGAGAGTGTGAAATCTTAAAAAGAGGTGCACCCCAGGTCTGTGCGCTGTGCAGGTTGCCCACCTAGATAGCCCGGAGCAGGCTTGCCAAAACACAGATTTTAGCTGCCCTGGGGAGGGACGGTGTGGGCACCGCTAGGGACTCACCTTGTGTTTAGTGTTAGTCCTGGGACACTGTTGCCTTGTGCAGCTAGGTGAAGAGAGGGGACCTGGGCAGAGCTGCCATCTCTTTGTGTTGTTGGGGACTGTAGGAATGCATGGCTACAAGGCAAGGGAATAGTCAGGGTTCCTCCCCCTTCTAAGGTATACTCAGTATGGCTGACATTCAAGGTGCATATCTGAGGATAAAGGTCATGGTCAGTTGATGAATTTGGCTTTGAACTTGGTATCCAGATTGCTTTTAAAAGACAGTGTTGACACAAAAATCAGGATTTTATCTCTCCTTTTCTGTAAGTTTGATCACTTGGCAGTGAGACCATATTATGTTCTGATACAAGAAATTCTTCTTTGTTCTTCTCAAACAGTTTCTAGCTGATCTTTCTTCCAGCTGAATGTGAAGCAACTCAGCTGACAGATGACTGTTGTGACTGTCTAGATGATGGCTTTTTTCACCACCTGTCCTTAAAGGTGTCTGCAGCTGGCTGAACCAGTTGGGAGATCAAAAACTCAAATTTCTCTGCTGGTGGCTTCCTTCCACATTTTCCACAAGACCATTTTGTCTTCATTGAATTTCCAAATGCTTAGTCATAATTTTCTTTTCAATTAGGCAGATATAACCTTTAAAAAAAATAAATAAATATCAGGTGTAAATATTTTAAGCCTTTAAAACTATTAAGAGTCTTGTTTTGCTGTGACATGAAAGAGACCATTTTGTAAACTATCTAAAAACATGTGATATATATATGGACAGGCTTACAGAAGAAGAGATATTAGCTAGGTAGATTATGTCGTCAAAAAGACTATTACATGTCGGGTCTACGAAGTTCTCAGAAGTAGCAGGCTTCAAAACAGCCTCCTGTGGGGTGTACCTCTAAAGCTGCATTATAATGCAATTTGTAGAGCTGCCACTTGACATTGAATTGGTACCCAAGGTTGTGGCTGACTAGACCTGGCAATCTGATGCTCATCAGAGGAAAATATGCACCACTCTCTTGGCTTTATAGCTCCTGAAAGATTAAGGCAGACTTTTCGTCAAGGAAATGGGAAAAATTCAGGTGTTTGATACTAATCTCAAGTGTAACACACCATCACTTGAGACATGTGTTCCTGAGCCTCCCAGAGTGAGTCTGGAGTGAGCAACTGAATTCCAAGAGCAGTGTCTCATCGTCAGTTCCTTCAAAGGATCTTAGTCATCAATGTTGCATACCCATTCCAGCATTGCACTTAACTTAATAGAAATCTGAGGATATTTACAATCTTTTTTCCAAAAATGGTGATATAGCAGTGGCATACACTCAGTAAAATCATTCCCGGTGACTACAGATTACCTTTGAGGTAAAAGCTTACACCTGGTCAATACCATGAAGCTGTTGTCTTCCTACAAATTCACGTTTTGCTGTATCTCAGTATCTTCTGCCCATACCACTAATGCATCA